GGTGCAGGGTGGAAGGGTGAATGTGGCTTAGGGAGTCTCGGAGCTGCGCTATAGACTTACCCCAAGAGGCTTGAGGATAGTAGTGCAGGCTAGGAGAGTTAGCCGGTGGTGCAGGCCCAGGGAAGCAGAGAGAGGTGAGGGCGGGGCCAGGACCAGAAGCGGTGCTCCTGGAGCCCAAGAAAGGGACTGAGTTGCTCTGGGTGAGAAGGATGAGGAAACAGTATTCGTTCCCCAGGTGTCTGGGGCCCCAAGACTAGGAATGGCGCAGGGCCCAAACTAGCAATGCCATCTTTTTATGATGAAAGCATTCAAAACATTTTCAGCTGGGCTTTTAATCTATGGTGTTAACCTTCTACACAATAGCACACCAAAATTTCTAACTCGTAGCAAACTGTAACTAACATTTTGAAAAAACAAATTTGCTGAAATCATCACTATTTTAGTAAATAATATCTTTATTTCCAATCAGAGAAGAATGATTACATAGCTGGTTTAAAATTTGTTTACTTGGGGTTCTAGAGAGATAGCCCAGCAGGTCAAATGCCTGCAGCACATGCCTGCAGTGGAAACATGAGGACCTGAGTTTAATACTCAAAACCCATGTAAAAAGCCTGGCATGGTGGAGAGCAGAGCAGAGCAGAGACAAGAGGATCTCCAAGGTTTAACAGCCAGCCAGCCAGCCTAGTTGAACTGGCAGGCCTTAAGTCCATCAGAAAGCCTGTCTCAAAAAGTAAGGTAGTGTCAATTTAGATGTACATTCCTGAGGTCTTTTATCTGTTGTAGCTTTTCTTTTTCTTTTTCTTTTCATTACTCCAGGTATATTGCCCTGTAAATTGTGATAGTGGTACAAAGAATAAAAAATTAAGGAATTTTTAACTTTTCAAAAAAAAATGAAGAAAAACAAAACAAAAAGTGGAAAAGAAAAGCAAAATGCTACCATGAGGAGTTTTTGTAGTAAAATATAAATAACATAAAAGTTATCACTATAAAAAAAAAAAGTAAGGTAGACAACTTCTGAGGCTGCCCTCTAGCCTCTACACACACACACACACACACACACACACACATACATATGCTTATATGTACACACATATACATGCACTCACATGGACATATAGACATACCTTAAGAATAAAAAATAAAGAGACTAGTTTCCCTGG